AAGTTACCATTTATGTGTCACAAAGATTTTTTTCATTCTGAAGTTAAAATTATTTTGTCAAAATTGCAATGTATAAGTGTAGTTGGTGGACATTGTAGTTCATTTCTTCTGTGCTGCTGTGGTGAAGTACATAAGGTGGTGGTGGTGATGGTAATGATGGCTGTGAGGTCTATACTGAAGCATGCTGTGGCCACATGTGATTCCTGGTCAATCAGAATTTTATGGTTGCCAGAGGATCTGCTCCCCAGGGTAAGGGGGCGCATGGCCATGGAATGAGGGCGCTGCGCCCCTGTTCCCTTGTTTAAAAAAATTCAGTATATTGCATGCATTAAATAGCAGGACAGGAATTTCGCAGTATGGAATCTAATTTCATAGCTAAAATTTATATAATGTCTTAAGCATATAGGATTAATATAGGTAATATCAAACAGCATTAGAACAAAATCAGGACAATTTCCTCCGAAGTTGAAGCTCTGAAATAGTGTGGTATATCTAAAGTTGGCTCTCCTAATATGGGGTACCGGTAGTACTGTAAAACATGTTGAAAAGTGGCATGCAATTTTAGCGAATTGTGGTAAAATGACGTAATAGCGAAATGTTGTTGATTTCTTTGTTTGGCGACCATTTTGAATTGATAATAAAGTCATTAGCGACATCTTGAATTAGCGAATCAATTCTCTCGCTAAATTCGCTCGCGAAAAAGACATGTTTTACAGTATGTTCAATATAAAAGGTTGACCCTCTTATTATAAGGTTTGCATGCAAATTGGTTGGTCATCCCTTGGGATGGTGGACATTTGGCTTACAAGGTTGGCATCCTGTTGGGTAAGCAGGCTGGTTGGCCTTTCATCTTGAAATATAAAAAGCTGATACACTGTATGCAAAGAGGCAGTAGCATGTAAAGTGGGGAGCTGGCATAAAGGGTGAACAGCAGTTGTTTACATGTTTTTTTTAGTCTAAATCAATATTACCTTTTTTGTAGTCAAATGAAGCCTGGAATTTTATGAAAAAGGATTTAGTTGAGTTTGGTAGTGTAGTACAGAAAGACACATCAGCTGTTGTAGCTACCACAGCATGTACACTTAAAGACAAACTCAAGGTAAGTCAGCCATACATGTACTACAGTACTGTATATCATTATATACTTGCACATTGGTGAAGAAAAGAGATGGGTAGGAGTCTCTTGAAATTAAAATCTTAGCAATAAAAATAGTAAAATAATTAAAAAAAAACAGTTCTTCACCAAATTTATGGTTGTATTTGTTGCTAGAAATTTATAGTGATTTGATAAATAAAGGTTCCTGTGTAGCAAACACCTAGCTTTTATTGCTTTTAAACTTGCTTATAATGTTCTTTGTTCCATTTGTGATATCTTAAATTATCTATTTTTAATGAATATTTTTATAATTATTAAGTCAAAAATGTTATTGTTGACTTTGTCTTGAAAACTTCTTCTTCAATTCTGTAATTTTGGCAAATATTTTGGTCATTTTTGGTCAAAAATGCTAATGCTGATTTCATACTTGGTATGTATGGTATGAGGTGGGTCTCTATTAGATTAGATCATTTTGTGACATAAAGAGAACACTATTATTCACAGACATATGCTATAACAAGAGTTAATGAAATCCAAAACTTTGGTAGTATTAAACTTATCCTCATCAGTGATACGATCTAAACACAGGAGTTGATCACTTAAATATGCCAAGGTTGTTTGTTTCTTCACTATGATGTTTATGGGTTTGATCATGGCTGTGCTTTGCTGAAACAGCAGAGCTACTTGTTTTCTAGAGACCACACCCATTTGTTTCCTCCCCTGTTTTTGACGACTTTTGAAGATCCCTGGTGTACAATGTTATAATTTTTATTATGCAATGTTTGTGATGTTTTCGTGAGCTCTCTCATGGTACACTTACAAACTAAGTTGAATTATTTGGTCAGTACTTTAAAATCCAAAAATAATATCTGGATTTGATTGAAGGAGAAGTTTATTCTAGCTTGGTAGTGTGCTCGCCTTCATCTATCATTTTATCTCATGTAGAATTAACTCCTTATACAATATAGCACTGAGTCGTTAGTATGTTAGTACAAATCTGTGTCTAATTACTGTTAAACTTACTGTCTATCTGCAGGTAGAAGAATCAACAGGAAGTAAAATGAGATCGGGATTTACTAATTTCCTGATGGGGATATCTGAGACCTTAGCTCCAAAAAATTATGGGATGGAAGAAGATGATGATGTACCACAAAGAGTGATCTTTGATAGAGCTAAGGTAACAATATATAAGTGAACAAGGACTCAAATTTTACAATAGTCCAAGGCTACATCCAGTTCCCTGTGCTTTAAATATAGACGTGTGTGACGCTGGTTGGCCACATTATGTGACGTCATGTAATAAAGTACGAACTCAACAATATCGGTAAAGGGTTTCATCTTTATTAGAATCCCGTTCACAGAAATACAGACTGCACAGCTCCAGAAAAACACACACAGCATGTGACACAAAGTACTGCACATGCGCAGTTCATTACATAATGGTCAACTGGATGTTTACCCCAATGCATGCTGGGAGTTTATCATACAGCAAGTTAACATCATGTGCTAATATTATCTATGAACTAATGTTGATAAACTGCATGATTGTTAGCCCTGCTTGAAAGTTGTCATAAATAAAAAATATAATAAATTAAACACAAAATAAAAATGTACCAGACTGATCCTGGTAGTTTTAAACACTCACGCAGTGAGATTTCATAACTTGTTGTTCCAGGCCCGTCTACAGGATACCCAGACTGATCCTGGTACATATCTAACGGAACCTGATGGTCCAGTGGATGTATATGAAGAGTGGAAGGAGACTTTTCATGTGGATCAACATAAAGGTGATATTTCGGATCTGTTAGTTGCCAGTGATGAAGTACGATCCATTTATACAAAACTAGTAAGTTCATATTATTTATCTAATAACACTTACTTTTCTCAGTTATGTGTCTATATGCATGTTGTTATACATCTCTCACCGTAAGTTACAGCGTGCCGTGATTTTGCGGTATTTTACGGGGTATTTTCATCCTACCATATTAGGAAAAAGAATTCCAAATATGGATTGATTACGTGCATAAGTGTCCTCTAATAATAAAAAACAAACATGGCTGCCTCTAGGGTTTGACTTTCACTGTTGACTTTGTCGAGCAGAGCTTATCATATGAGTGATTGTCCGTC